ATGTCTCAGGCGGTTTGCTTGTTTCTGGGCCCAACATCCTTCGCTTGGAGAGCAGATTGTAAGGATGTCTCAGGCGGGGCGCTGGTTTCAGCACCCCTAAGGGGCGCCGCCAGGGGTGGTTGCACGGGCTCGTTCGCGGCCATTTTGTGGGGATGTCTCAGGCGGTTTGCTTGTTTCTGGGCACAACATCCTTCGCTTGGAGAGCAGATTGTGAGGATGTCTCAGGCGGGGCGCTGGTTCCAGCACCCCTAAGGGGAGCCGCCAGGGGTGTTTGCACGGGCTCGTTCGCGGCCATTTTGTGGGGATGTCTGAAGCGGTGTGTTTGTTTCTGGGCTCAACATCCTTCGCTTGGAGAGCAGATTGTGAGGATGTCTCAGGCGGGGCGCTGGTTTCAGCACCCCTAAGAGGAGCCGCCAGGGGTGTTTGCACGGGCTCGTTAGCGGCCATTTTGTGGGGATGTCTCAGAAGTTTGCTTAGTTTAATGGGCCCAAAACCTTTCGCTGGAGAGCAGAGTTGTAGGATGTCTCTCAGGCGGGGCGCTGGTTTCAGCACCCTAAGAGGAGCCGCCAGGGGTGGTTGCCGGGCCTTCGTTGCGGCCTTTTGTAGGATGTCTCACCAGGCAGCCGCGTTCTTATCAACATCCTTCGCGGAGAGCGCGTGCCGGGAGTTCAGGCGGGGCGCTGGTTTCAGCACCCCTAAGAGGAGCCGCCAGGGGTGGTTGCACGGGCTCGTTCGCGGCCATTTTGTGGGGATGTCTCCGGCGGTTTGCATGTTTCCGGGCTCGACATCCTTCGCTTGGAGAGCAGATTGTGAGGATGTCTCAGGCGGGGCGCTGGTGTCAGCACCCCTAAGGGGAGCCGCCAGGGGTGGTTGCACGGGCTCGTTCGCGGCCATTTTGTGGGGATGTCTCCGGCGGTTTGCTTGTTTCTCGCGGCACTATCCTCCAACATGACATGCACTTATGGCCTTGTGTGGCTAAACGCTCGTCTCACATATCCCATTGCCAACTATCCTACAACATATGCACATGTGGGAAGCTCCAAAGCTACCACGGGCTGAAAAGGGAAGGCCTGGCAGCTGAGGAGGGGGGATGAAGAGGAAGAGGCTCGCATTCAACCATACTCAAAGCTCACTCTGACTCATACGCAATCACTGGCATTAGGGGTCACCCGTCTTCGTCGGCCCTGTCGCCCACGTGGACGCGCTATTGTAGTCGACCACGGCATGACATAAAACATGGGATGCACATATGGGGAGCTCCACGCAGTGAGTAATAACCGATTTGTTTTTGAATAGGATTGCAGTAGGAAGTGGTCGAGCCCAACTTCCAGAGGAACCCCTTAAACATTTATTTGTTTTTGAATAGGGTTGCAATCGGAAGCGATCGAGTCCCACCCTCCAGAGGAATTCCTGAATCATCTATTTGTTTTTGAATAGGATGTCAATAGGAAATGGTCGAGTCCCAGCCTCTAGAGGAATTCCTTACTAATCTATGTGTTTTTGACTAGGATGTCAATAGGAAGCGTGCTTACCAAGAGTATGACTTCTTTTTTTTCCCTCCGGCGTCGTTCCCGTTCCCGAACCCGAACCCTTACCCTTATTCTTGACTATTCATTTCAAACTTGGTAACACAGACTACGTTTAGCCCTAGTAGTAGTAGTAGTGGTAGTAGTAGTAGTAGCAGTAGTAGTAGTAGTAGTAGTAGTAGTAGTAGTAGTAGTAGTAGTCGTAGTAGTAGTAGTAGTAGTAGTAGTAGTAGTAGTAGTAGTAGTAGTAGTAGTAGTAGTAGTAGGGGTGCACCTGGTCTTCGTGTCGCTACAAACCTCACCTTCGTGTACTCTTCTTTTGTATCAGGCCTAATAGAACTCCTACCAGGGGAATTACGAAAACCGTAGTTTCAAACCTGGCCTTCGTGTCTTTCGCGCCAACGCCTACCTTCGTGCATTATTCGCTGTAGAGGCTGTATATTGGATTCGTATAAGAAAGTGAACAAAAAACGGACAGTTTTACACCTGTCCTTCGTGTCGACGTCGGATTTGGAGCAACCGCCCGCCACTGCCAGCCGCTTCATTTCGGCACAACCCTCTCGAAGATCGTGGGCCTGGCCCTCCGACGCGCGATTCCGGCGCGCACTTCACTAGGATCGTGGCCCTGGTCCAAGTGGGAGCGCTGCCGAAGGCCCACCGACGTCCAATTCCGGCACGCCGCTCACGAGGATCGTGCCCTGGCCCACCCGGGAGCGCTGCCGACGGCCCACCGATGAGCAATATCGGCGCACCCCTCACACGGATCGTAGACTTCGCCATATTTGGATCGCCGCCCGACGCTGAAGTTCGGCACACCTCTCACATGGATCGTGGCCTTGGCCCAATGTGGAGCGCTGCCGACGGCCCACCGACGCCCAATGCCGGAACACCCCTCACGAGGATCGTGGCCCTCTGGTCCATTTGACAGTGGGTTTTCATAAGGACGTCGTTCTGGTTTTATTCGGGAAGGCATTTTGGTTTTATTCGTTTCTGGTTCGTGATGGTTAGGAGGAGGAGGAGGAGGAGGAGGAGGAGGAGGAGGAGGAGGAGGAGGAGGAGGAGGAGGAGGAGGAGGAGG